AAAATAAATAAATAAATATTATTATTATTATTTATCCAAAATATAAGAAACAAACTATTGAGCATATGAATAAATTAAGAGGAGTTGTTTAAGCATAACATGTAATTTCAAATTTAAGTATACTTATAGTTTTAAAAAAATTTAAGAAGTAAAAATTTATGTTAAGATACATTAATTACTAAATTCTTTCATGCTTTTATTTATTGTGATTTTTGAATTAACATAATACATACCTATTATCTATATATGTAGGCAAATTTATTCATTTAATGTATTAATTACTAATTTAATAACTACTTTTTATTGACAATGATGAATTAGTTATTTGTAATTTATAAAAAGAATTAAAGAGAATAATATTAATGACAAAAACTATCTAAATACAAGTAGCTTCAATTATTATCCAAATTCAAGTTAAAGGATGATTGAAAGACTGCTTAAATCAATTTTAGTGGAATAGAAAATTTATTGTTGTCTAATTTCAGTTAAAATTTTTGTTTAGAAAATTTTGAATATTTATTTAAAATCAAAAATTGATTTTGGACAAGCAAAATCTCAAACTAAACAAGCTCTTAAATAAAATTCTATCTTTGATCTTATTTGTAAAAAATAAATAATTAACTCATCAAGATCAATAAAAAGTAATTATATATTATAAATTTATATTATATGTCAAAAATATTTGTAGCATTAGTTGATGATCTATATATTAAATAATTAATATGTCTATTTATATAGATAAAGGATAAGTATTTTATTAACACAAAATTTACATCAAATAAGTTTATAAAAAACATAGTAATTAATGCATTAAAAATATATTTATATTTCTTATATTTTAGACTAAAAAAGTATTGATAGTTATTTCTTATAAATAGAATTTGAAGTAATATATTTTTCTTTTAATGCACTTTCTTTTAATATTATCATAATTGAAAAGTTATTGTAGATTGAGTTAAAAAATAATTTACTACTTTTTCAACTAACAAAAATGAAATGTGTGAAATGGAAACATGAGTATATTGTAAGTAATAAAATTCAAGCTTATCTAGTAATAAATTTTTATAAGATTTTTTATTTAATTAATAAATAAATTCTTTGACTCTTAATTTTGTTTCAATTTAGTTCTTTAATTTATAATTTTTAAAAAAAATTATTTATCATTATTCTTCCTCTTATTTTTTATACACATTTTCACAACCTATTTTATTTTTCTCTTTCCCGAACTTTGACAAAAATGTATTATATTTCAATGAATTTTTCTATTGAGTTTGATGATCGTAAAAGATGAAGAATAACATAACAATGTTAATATCAAATAAGATACTAATAATTATTTTAACGAAGAGAAAGCTTTTTACCATTTTTTTTTTCTCTACCTCAAAACTTTTCTCCTTATTTTCTCTTTCATCTTTTTCTTTCTCTTACCACCATCCACACTTTCTCAGCCTGATTTTTTTCACTATAAACTTTGAAAATAACACATATTTTATTAGGTACAAAGGTGTTTTAATATTGTCACCAACACTTCTTTTCCATATTGTTGCTTCAACTATTAATTTTATAGTAATAAGGATCAGAAGAAGATAATAGCAACTAGTTTAGCTAGAAAAATTAAAATTCTAATTTGAAAAAGATTGAACAAAAAAGAATTAAAGAGTGAAATTTACCAAAAAGATATTAAATTTTTTTTATGAAAGATATCATCTTTATTCCAAAGAACTATATTTTTTTATATATAAAAACTGGATAAAAATTACTCAAAGTGAAAATGATAGTCCATAGAATGCAACCATCCACAGGATACTTAGATATTCAATCTTTTGGGACTTTTTTTTCTCTCTTTCCAACGTTAAAATTTTTTTCAACAACAAAAGAAAAAAGATAAAAAAAAAAGGAGGAAGAAGAAAAAAAATAGACAAAAAATTAATCAAAATTATTATGTTTTTCACCCGAGTTTGTAAAAGTTGAAAAATAATTTTTTTAATAAATTAACTTTTTTATGAAAAATAACTTATTTAAAATATTTTTTTAATTTTATAAATTAAAAAGTAAAACTAAAACAAAATTGAAAGTTAGAAAATAATTTACTAATCCAATTTTTTTAAACCATCTTTAACTTTCACGTTAAGGTTCGGGTTTTAGTTTTTTATCAAAAAGAAATAGTAGGTCAGTAGCTAATCAAAACTTATTCCTGAATTTTGAGACATACTGTTGATCTACTCTTTTTGTTTTTTGTTTTTTATTTTGTCAAGGAGACGCAATATGACAGTGAAATAGTGCCATAATTTATCACAATGAGAGTGGGCTAGATTATCAATTATTGTGCTTGGACCAAGTAAATAGTATGATTTAGTCCATGGGCCAAGTATATCTCAGCTACCATTTTTTCGCTCCCTTACCAATTAAACTTGCACTAGGCATATGATTCATTTTCTATCCTATAGCACAATTAAAAAAAAACATATCAATATTTTAATATTTTGAATCTTATGACACATTTTTATTTATACACGACAAAGATCGATATCCCATCTTTCCATTGTTTTATTTCTCTAGAGACTCAAAAATAGATCTTTCTAAACTCGCTTTCTTAATCAGGATGCCTATCAGGCATTTTAATCAAAAGTCATTTTTATAGTTTTTACAAAATTAAAATTAACTGAATTAATTACAATATGTACAAAGTACTTTCCTTATTTTGTGTATACGGGACAGGACAGCATGGAGGTATGAAAAAGTGAATGATAAATAATGGCGTATATACTTAATTAATATACAAGAAAAAGACAAAATAAGAAAAGTGCAGGAAAGCTATAGAGTAGGCCTGTGAAAATACATAGTCAAACTTTATGGAACACTTTACCCGTACAAGGATGTTGAACGATGTGACAATAAAAACCCAACTCAACTTAACAAAGGAGGAGTCATAAACTTGCGGGCAAAGGCGCACCTTTTGTTCAATACACTCTCATGAACATTCACTCTGGTGTTGTTCTCTAGAAAGGATCAAAATCTGAAGCAGCAAAATGGACCCGAGAATGGAGTGTGGTGGGGGAAAAGGAAAAGAATATAAGTGGAATCCGAAGAATGCTCTGAAAACGTTAATCAAATGACAACCAAATGTGGGAAAAAGCGAAGGTTTAAATCTGCTCTTCACAACTATAGAAGAAGCCTCGATACAAACATTTCTATAGCATTTTTACTGTGTTTCCCTCACATTTCGCTTTCAATCAACAATTCATATGAGATAAGCATGTTGGAAAGCTTTACTCCGTAGTTCGTGACTCTTTCTAGACTTGAAATTCAAATAACAGAAATAATATTTTACTTTAATTTTAGTCAGTAAAACTTTTTATACTTTTAATTACTAAATCAAGATAATATTTCCCTCTTCATAGTGGGTTTGAGTAGTTCATACACTCAAATTACTAATAGATTCATTATATATTTTGCTTATAAAAAACTTCTCCTAAAAATAAGAAAAGCTGAATATATTAATATCATATAAAAGCTTAAAGCCATTAGAGTTTCGCAAGCTCCACTCTTCATCATCCAGCTTCTTTTTTTTTTTTTAATCAAAGGCAGCTCAAATTCGAGTGTTAAAACCATTTTCACTTTCAGTCCCAACTAAGTTATTTGGTAAACGCTTATAAATGACTTTTGTCAATTTCTTTGTTCATATGAAGAGATTAAAAAGTCAAATCCCTTAAACCTACGCTTAAAAATTTGTCCTAAAATAACGGTTCCTAAAAAATGAAAAAATAGCATTTGTCTTTAAGTCACGTTGTCTGCGTGCTGGGAAATGATTTCATGGCAACGCTTTCGATCTTTTGTGTAAATCCGGAGTTTCCTTTTCTGTCCGACTGACACCCAATTCTTAAAAACGAGAAGTAGAAATTATAGCCATCACTGGACGAAACGGTATGATATAATTGTGATTTTTTCTCCCAATAACTCGACAAAAAGTATACTATAAATTAATAAGATTTTTTCTTAAAAGCATAAAATATAACTATTTTTTATAAAAAAATTATATTTACTGTATTAATGTTATAAAAACATAATAAATATATTTAATAAAAAAATTTATTATTATTTACTTAAATTCAATCTTAATAATTAAGAATAATATTTTAAATTAATAATATTAAATTTTTAACTAGCTAATACTATTACGTACAAAATTAACAACTATCGACAAATAATCATAACAACCACAAATGCTATACTGCTAATAGGATTTTTTAATGAAAGAATGTAAAACATTTGTCATTTGCTGTCAGCTCCTTTATAGCAATGAATCTTTGTAGCATATCACTCGTCATTTCATCGGTTTTTGAATCGAGCTGCAAAGTATTTCGTGTTCCTCACTTCGTACATGGAAGCCATTAATGGGGCTTGGTCAAGATCAAGAAAGCCCTAGAGAAAAAACTTCTTTACGCCAGCCTGTTACATTCTCAGTCCTCAGCTTTTTCTCCATTAAAATTTATGTAAGTAACCCCTTTATCATTAATTTTCCTTCTCTCTCTCTAACACACATTTAGGAGAATGAAGCATGCGGAGATCAACATCAGAAAAAGGAGAAGATGAACAGAAGAAAGACAAAAATTCCCATTATCCCACAAAATCAAGGGCAATATGTTGCACTTGCACCAATGAGAACAAAGGGAATTCTACCATGGAGAAAGTTGAAACATTTATACTTGGCTTTAATTTGAGATGTTTTAATCCAGCCATCCCCACCTGCATCCATGTATAGATAGATGATGATGGTGGGTGGGGAACAAAACATAAAATCTATAGGCACTAAGTTATATGTACACAGAATCACCAACAAAACAGTCACACACCCGCACGCACACACGTTAGTTTCCATCAATCTAATTTGCCTTCTTCATAACCTCAATTAAAGGGAAAAAAATTAAAAATATTTATATATATGAAGCAACCAAAAGAAAATATAGCCAGCAGCTTCTAAATTATAAAATTTTCGAGGACTAACAAGTAGACGGGGGCATGAGATTCAAGCCCAAATCATAATTTTCTAACACCAAACGAGCCTTGTTTGTTTCGGAACTCAGGAAATTACTAGATTCAAACTCGGAGTGCATCCTTTTCTTGGATTGAAGAGACACCCCAAAAAGCTTGGTCCTGCAGTTTTCACTACTAGCCTCTTCAACAATTGTTATGGAACTGTTAGTGGGAGAGTTCACAGCATGAGCTTGTTTTGTATTAGTGGAATAACACCCCACAAGCTGATTCGTTGGCCTTTGCACCGTTGAAACATTACTTATTTGAGAGGCTTGTGCTTGTGGTGTGTTATTATTATTATTATTATTATTGCAGAGAAGAAAAGAAGGGAAAGTGTTGCTTGGAGACACGGGTTTGACATGGTTCTGAACGAAGTAGATTATGTCGTTGTAAAGCTTCTTCATGTGTGCAAGCTCTGACATGAGCATGTTGTTGCTTCGCCTGAGTCTTTCGTTGTCCTCAGAAAGAGCAGTGACAGTGTTGAAGTTGTTGTTGATTGAAGCGGTTCCACTTGGTCTCGGGGAAGTGAGTGGCGGTGAGTCACACCAATTGGCCAACTCGTCCGAGTCAGTGGGAGGCGAAACGCTGAGTCTGTTGTGTAAGGGAAAGAAAGTAGGAGGAACGCTAAGTCCAAATTGATGAGAAGAATGATGTTGATGGTGAAGATTCATGGCTGCAGGCACTTGTTGATGCTGAGGAGTTTTTCTTCTGTGGATCTTACACAGCAAGTGCTTCTCTCCTTTTTTGAAGAACTCATTCGCAAACTCCCACCTGTCAGGCACGATCTTTCTGAAACCCTATCGGAAAAATCAAAAAGAAAAAGCAAGTTAGTTAGAGAAAAAGCAAAAGATAACATCTTGAAGGTTATGTATATGTGGGTGTGAATGTGTAGTTACATAAGTGTTGAGTTGGCGAACGAAGCTCGAAAAGTTGTTGTGTTTGAAGTAGTTTGGAAGAAGGTCTCTGGCGAACTCTGGGGGGCGCCAAACGACAAAGGTGGTGTCGTCTTGGCCCCAAGAGACTATGTGGTCGGTGTTGGGATCGTCTACAAGTTGGTATGTTTTGGTGAGGAAGGGTGCAGGAACTGATTTGTGAGTGTCCAAAGAGAGTAAAATGCTTTCGCAGTTGTTGTCTAGGAGAAGGGCCATTGTTGGGAAGCTAAGAGAAGAGAAGAGAAGAGACAGAAGGAAGATCAGAGAGAAAGAGACAGTGTGAATGTGTGTGTGGAAAGAATGTGAGTGAGAATAGGGATGGTGGTAGATAAAGGATGCGAGAAAAACACAAATTAATGGAAAGGAAGGACTAGCACTGCTACTCTTACTGTGTAATGTGGTTTGCCTCTGTCTTTTTGTTCCTCTTTTTCTTATTTACTTGTCAATTATATTATTTATTTGTATAATTATTTTCTAATAAATTATATTTATACTTCTTAAAATTTAGCTTTCTTTAATTTCATATCCCGTGTTGCTTTGACCTTACTTAATTCATATAATTACGTAAAAAAGAGAATGTATAATGAAAAATAAAATTAAAAAAGAAATGAATTTGTTTACCGTCTTCCTCGATTAGGTAGTGAGAGAATAAGTGTCTGTCTGTCTAGGACTGTGAAACAAGGGCCTTTCAAGATAAACCCGTGACTCTCTCTTTCTACGTGTACGTGTCAACGTGTGCGTTTGTGTTTGTGATTCAGAGAGAGGGTTCTGATATCTGACATTGATCCCGCGCACACCCAATTAAAATCGCGCACAAGAGGAAGAAAACGTTTCCATCTTTTGCAAATTGACAATTACACCCTTCCTCAACGCAACCCTTTTTCTTTTCTCACTTTTATTCTATTACAAGCAATCAGTCAAACAATTCCTGCCCTAGCTAGCCTACTGTCTTTTTCCGTAATCAATTTCCCCAAGCATTTTCGTTTCAAAATAATAAATACACACCTTTTGTTAAAATCATTCCTTTTTTCGTGAGTTATTAAAAATCATTCCACATATTATACAAAAATTAGGATAAAAGTATATTCATAATATTTTTAACATATTTTCAAGAGTACAGTAGTTAGTGTTTATTTTTAAATATAACAGTGATGATAATTTGACGCGATAAGTGGGTAAATTAATAAGCCAGTGATAATCATTTTGACGCAATAAGGGCAATCTATCGATCTTTGGGTAATAAGCTAAGAACCAGTAGGTGGGTAGTAAATAATTAAGTTATCAAGGATTGCTATCTCCAATTCCAAAGTAGTGGACTACATACCTCGGTAAGAGGGGTAATTCAGTGCAAGAGTCGGGTTTATTGAGTATGGATACGAAAAAATTTAGGAGTTTTTGTTAATTTATTGTTTTTAGAACGTTAAGACTGAAGTTTACGTTTTCTTTCTTTTATTAATGCAATAAAACTAATGGAATCTTAAGAAAGAATATAAGTGGGATATGGGAAAAAGAAGGTGGGTTTGATTTCACGTCAAACGAGTGTCCTCTTTCCGTTTTGTAGGTTTCCTTTTGTTGTTTATTGTCACCAACCAAGCAGTGTCTAATTTCGAATCCCTATTCATTATTCTATTGCACCTCTAGTATAGCAAAGGATACATCGAACTACGTGATAGGAATTAAAGACTGTTTTGGTTAGGTGACGACATGTCTAACCTTCTATGGCTTCTCTTCTTCTAGTAGCATAGAATAGTATATTTGCTTCTATATCTTTCCATCACTCTCTTTCCCGCCACCTTTTCTTCCCTTCTTCTTGATAAACTCATTAACACATTATTCAAATTTCAACATCATGTGCAGTGTGGTAAGAGTCGTATGGTATACCCTTTTATCTCTATTGTTAGTGCCTTTTACTCGTAAGCACTAGCTTACAATGCCTAGCTCTAGCTTCTTCTGTTTTGCTTTCCCTTACTTTTACGTTGAGATTCCAGCTTTGGCTCTTCCATAACTAGACATTCATTTGCTGACGTGTCCAGGTGATTGAATTATTGACCCCCAAAAGTTCCCATAAATAACTGGGAAAATTTTTACAGCTTTTCCACCTCCCTTTGTGTATGGCCTCCCCCACAATAACATATTTTTTCTTTACTTTTCTTCCCTTTTCCCTTAGCCCAAAGCATGCATCAGCTGTTCGTGTATCACAATTTCTAGGTAAAGCCAAACCTAAGCAGAGGCTAGTTCATTACATGGTACGCTATACTCTTCTAAGGATACGTAACATGCCATAAGTTATCATATTAAAGTACATGTGTTGACCTTAAATCCTTAGTATATACTTGAAAAAAAATATTGTCTTTAAGATAATTTTAATTTATTAATATAATTTTTGTCTGACAGAAATTAAACTATTAATATACATTGTTTTAAAAGTTTAATGCATCATATTATTATTTGATATATTTATAAAAAAATATTTACTAATATTATTCATGATAGTGTTTATATAAACTCATAATTTATATACTAATATTTAATTTTTATGATAAAACTTATATTAGCATAAGTTAATCAACTTCTATATTATAAATAAATTTTATCTCAGAAGTAAGGTGTTTAATAAATCTATTTTCTTTTATAATTGGTCACAGATAGAATTAAAATTAATTAAAAATATGTCTGAACTGACTAATTTAGTATTAAATTACTATTATCTATAAAATATATGTTTATTGTACATACTACTGACAAGTTTAATATTAAATCACTAGTATCTGCATTGTTTTACACAATGCAAATGCAATTCACATAACACACGGTAAATAACACTTACATGACATGGTTGGACTTGGATTGAATTAAATGCCTACATATTTCGTTAAGCATCAAATTAATCTGAGTTGAATTAAATAAAATTGTTATGAACGATAACTTTTTTTTTGGTAAAATTTTTAATGCAACTACATTTGAATGCGTTATGAGAGATTATTATCTATTGTAATGTACGACCACGCTCATAAAATAAAATTTTCAAAATATTTTATAAGAAACTTAAATTATAAATGTTGAAAAATGCTTTAGAACAATAGACTACTAAGTCATGATTTTAAATAGCAACAATACCACCATTTTTCTGCCAAAAACGGTATCGCATTTTAATTAACAGTTTTGTCATTTAAATAATTAAATTAACATTGTATGAAACTATATAATTGCTGTTATATTTTCTACATTTTTATTTATATATATACGTGTATCTTGAAAAAATATTTCACATATAAAAAAGGTACCTAAAAATGTTCACCTAAATTAATGTACAAATTGTTTCCTATTAAATAATTACATATAATTTTCTGTATTTCTATCATATCTTCAATTGGGGTTTGAGTAAAAACTAACAAGAAAACTTTTTCATAAACTCTAGCAGCTTGAGAATTTTAAGGTGCTCTTATAATTGAGAAAATGGTAGAATTAATCCTAATAAAATAATTTTGAATTCCTAAATGAATTAAAATAAGCTAATAATCTAATTATATATTAGCAGAGAAATGTTATTTTTATTTAAAAATATGATAAATATTTTTTAAAAACTTTAAAACAACATAGACAAATAAAATTACAAACCAATAACACTGAGTTGGTAAAAGGAATTAATGTATAGTTTATATATTTATGCTATAAGTTGCTCTGGTCGTACTCTATTTGCAACACAATAAAGTGAAATTAAATTTGTAAATTGTAATAGATGTATGAAAAGAAAACGAACTTGAAATGTGATAACATGAAAATGTGGCAGCAGCAATAGGCAGTAGTAATGATAAGAGGAGTTTCAAGTCCCGATATCCAGTTGAGAATATGTGGGTGGCTTCTACTCTAGTTCTTCGGGTCCCTAGTCTACCACGCAGTAGTGTAGTTTCAGATGTAAAGAGAAGAGAAGTAGGGAAGGAACCAATGTCATAACTATCTGCTTCTCCTATGTTCTAAACAATCATGCCCTTGTTTTCTCTTTCTCTTTGCAGCTGCTTCCCCACACTGTTTTCATTTCATATATTACTTTTTCGTAATATTGTTTTCTATCTCTTATTTTATATATATTTTTACTTTAATTTTAATGCATTGTTAGTATAAAATATTTACATTATCAATTAATTAAAATAATTTTTAATATAACATTTTTATATTGTAAAATTTATTGCGAGATTGAATAGCATTAGTCTTTCTTAATTCCTTCCCAGTTCTGAGTTCTGAGTTCTGAGTTCTCACACAAACCCTGACGCTTTTGGTGTACTATGCTGCCTCGTTTCAGCGGCTGACATGGAGACAGTAGTCCTTTCTCTATTTTGATGGGTCTGTAAGTATTGCCACTCTCGTGATTCTTACTTTGTTCTTTTCCGTTGAGAGAACGTATACGCATAATTACTGCGCTCACCTTCTTCGCTTGTTCAAGTTACATGCATCTTTAGGGTAATTCTGGTTCTTCAATATCATTTTTCAAAATTCATCGACCCTGTTATCTCATGCTCTATTTCACGTTCATTTCTTTATAGAGGTTAAGCATTTTTAATTCAGCTTACTTTTTTAAATAAGTGGGTACAATGTTTTTCTTAATTTTAAACAAAACGTAAGTATATAAAAACACATTAATTTATGTGGTTTTGTAATTTTAATTCTAAAGCTAAGTTTTAATATTTTTACTAAAAATATAATATTTATTGCACTTTTATATGTTTGTGATTATAAATAAATATTTTATTATAAATTTATTATTTCAATTATTTATTCTTAATCTTTAGGATTGAGATTGATATCTTTTATTTATATAATCTTTTGCACTTGAATATTATGTTAACCTACTACATGACATACGAATAAATACATGAATATTTTACTCACTTTGTAAATAAAGTTTTCAATTTATGAATCAAATTACTTTTTCAAAAGTTTAAAATAATGCTAAGATGATTTTTTATCTAGATTTTTATCATACTAATTAATAATTATTAACTATACGATAAATGAATCAGATCTTTGGAACCTGGTGGATAAATTGAAGTACTTCACGAACAAATTAAAAACCTTTCCACGTTGTCATGTTCTCAGTCAATAATAATATGTCTATCCACATTCCAACTTTTACACAATTATGGCCGATTGATTGGCTTTACCAGACCAGAATTAGACCTAATTATGTTACTGTGAATGAATGACATAAACCTAAGATT